AGTTACGTGGAGTAAAATTCTACTCTCGTCTGACCAGGGTATTCGTCCCCAGGTTTGAAGGTTCTATTTCTGCCTTGCTCTGCACCAGGCCAACCTCTCCTTGCGATGGCTATCGTCAAGTGTCGGGCGTTTTATGACTCTCCTTGACTTCAGTCCAGCAGATTTTAAACGATTTCTTACTGTTCTGGTTGACAGATTACGACCAGGTAACCACTGCCTTTTAAGACGGGTGCTTGTTGCAAACGGATTTTGTCTGACTAATCTACCAAGGCTCCTATCTTCACGTTGGGTTGTTACAGATGGTCGACCAGATCGAGGACGGTTCTTAACATTCTGGATGGCAACATGTTTTCTGACCAAACGGCTGATCACTGTGTAATGATAGCCAAGCTGTCTACCTATCGCCTTATAGGACATACCAGCGGAATTCATGCCAATAATTTGCCATCTCTGTGCCTCTGATATCCGTCTTCTTACTTAAAATGATTTTGCATTCAGAAATTCGGGACTTAAATACGGATTTGATGCACGAGAAAATAGTGCATATTGGACGTGTAGAAGGGAGCAAGTTGCACGTGGGGAAAAAAAATGTGCCTGATTTAAATGTCACACCTGAACGCTCACATCCTTTTAATTATGTTTGAAATTATGAACATTGCTCAACATCATGAAAATTGAACCTTATTTTCAATAAGCAATCCTGAAAAATATTTGGGGGTGCTTAACTTTTTTCCAGTTGTATATATAAGATTAATGGAATAATAACATTTTAACACCATACCCACACTTAATGATTTTCTATATCACAACAAACAAAAATAGAATAGAGATTTCTAAAACCACATATTACTCAGTAGAATGATTTCTTTCTAACAAAGTATATCAAACAGAATAAAGATTTTATATGGCAGAAACAATTCAAGAGAATATTTTTTCTAATACACAGAATAAAGATTTCTTATGTCACAATCTTCTCAACAGAATAAAGATTTGCTACATCATAACATTTTTTATTCACAAAAGAATAAAGACAAGGCAATATAAAGTACTCAATAAAATGTATATTCTATGTATCATAGCAATACCAAACAGAATAAAGATTTAAAACCTAATAATTACTAATCAATAGAATGAATATTCTACAAATAACAGCCTTAACAAAAAAATAAAGATTCCACATGTAACAAGTTTCTTAGTGGAATGAAGAATTAGGGCTCTTCATGTTACAATCTATTAAACAAAGATTTCCAACTATGTTAGGAAATTATTAGCCCCTATTTTGTAATTAATAGACATAATCTTCAATTACTTTGTTGAAACCAAAATATGCCTCTTTACATCAGAACCTACCAGAAAGAATTTTCAGATAGTCAACAATTAAGTCAGTGGCAAGTCCACAGCACTGTTTAAAATTTGAAGCAAAGTTGTCCCAGCCTCGATAAATTCTAGATGTCCTCCGTAACCAGCCTTGAAGCATGGGCAAGAGAAGGTGGTTGACACAATAGATACCAAATTCTGGACCTATGGTTGAAGTTAAGCCACCATTATCAAGATTTACACTCTTAAAGCAAGTATTGTGAAATAAGTTCAAACTTTAGACGTGTCAAAACTGCTGATAAAATTGCAAAAAACAACAAGAACAACGTTTCTGGAACATTTAATTGCAGAAGAAAATGACTAATTATATAAACTACCAAGATTTGTTATTTGTTTTTTTAGCATAAAATAATGTATAAAACTTTCCATAAAAGATCAGTCATTAAAGAATTTTACTTATTTGAAAAGCATTGTTAATTGACTGCAAGTGTTTGAGATTTATGTTGACATTTCCAGCTGCTAGCAAAGATATTCATTAGGTCTGAACTAGATGCACATCATCCAAAACTTCCTAGACAGATGCAATTCATTAACAATGCCTTTCAAGTATACCCTCCTCTGTCTAAACCTTATTTGAAGCAATAATTTTGTTTGTTTATCACTATATGATCTAAAGGTACACACATTTAGTAAACCTTGTACTAAGGGAAGCACAAAAGGTACTTAAAATAAAACTTGCCTGGTACTTTATGTAGGTTCTGAAGCATTGTGAATAAAGTTTCCATTGTATGAGGCTGATATCGACGAGGGCAGGTAGCAACAGCACCAGCTAGTCCTTCCAACAACAGAAACCACACGTGAAGGATACCCGTGGCTTGATCAAGTTTTTTAAGAGATACCGATTCTTCAGGCTTTATTAATTCTACTTCCTATTTAGGATTAAAATACAAAGGGATTCCATTAACAGTTACATTCTATCAAAAGACTAATATATGTGTAAATACATAACATTTTAAACAAAACTTAAAAAGTTAGATCAAAATTGTAAACAAGCCATTCAATTAAAGTGAAATTCTTGCACCGAAAATTGTAGGAAGTTTTCAAATTTCAGAATTAGCATTAAACATGAAAAAAAATTATAATATCAAATTTATTTTTCAATTATACAATTCATCTTAATGTTGCCTAAAATGTATTGTTAAAAAAATATAAGAAGTTAAATCCAAGACTGACAAATTATTAACTTGAAATATTTTGAGATGTACATAAAAAAACTGTACCAGTTAATAAAAGTTAACGTTTTTCTTACACTGAAAATATATTACTGATATATACTAACACCTCTCTCACACAAAGCTGTTTTGATCTTCTATCTGCCCTCTAAGCATTGCTACAAGTTTCACACTCAGTGCACCAGTCTATATACCCCATCAATTTCACACCATTTTTGAACATATAGATATCATGTGACTACTCATCACCAATAGTATTGCACCATCTATATTGGTGCATCTAGCTCCCTCTGCTAATCTTGCTCAATCCTCACTTATGAGAATTGGTAAGCTCTAAAAGAAGAACACTGGCCATGGGGAGGAAGGGTGTGAAGTGTGAGGAAAAAGATAAGTACCTACTGGAAGTACAATTTCAGTGTAAGAAAAATGTTAAGTTCTGATACAGTCTTACCTTTACTCACACAAAACTAGAATCCCACATGCAAAGATGGAGGGACCATTAGGCACACTACATAAAAACCAAGTGGAAAGCGACTGCCCAGATTGAAGCAGGGTGTGCTCGGAGATGGAAACAAAATACTTGTGGGGTATCACACTACTACTACTACTACTGGAACATCAAGTATGCTCCTCACCCTTGAAGTAGGAAATTAATCTGATATGGGCAGAATAAAAAAGGTGGATTCCACAGTAAAATATAAACAGAATTAGCATTGTACATACACAACCTCAACCGGATAGATGAAGTTCAATAACTCGTCCACAGCATTAGGAGGTTGAGGATAAAAAAAAAAGATACACTTTAACATAAACATGTGGAGTGTTATATATACTCAACAACCCCAATTGTAAGTAAACAGTGTGTCATATATCAAGCAACCAGAATTATGAAGAGGAAGTTAGTTTTCAGCCACAACTGGACAAATTCCCCAAACCACCATTGGAATTAACAAAAAGAAGGGCATTTACTGCACACAACTATAGGAACAGGGCAGTGTCATCCCAAACCTGGAATTATGAGATAGATTCCATGTTGGCTGGACCTGCTCCAAGCAACAGCTGTCCCCTGGGAAAAAACATCAAGAGGTAAGAAATAGAATTAAGGAAACCATCTTTGAAATCATCTCACTGAGTGTATAATCATATGTATGTATGGTAAATTAAGAAGGAAGCCTCAATGGTCCACCACTCCAGGAATTGGGAAGTGGTAAGGACTTTTGTGCTCCACTGGAAGAAAAAATAGGGGCAAGTAAATGCAGTGGGAAGTCCAGAGGAACTTCACACTAGAGAAAGTGCAATGGGTGTCTGCGATTTCCTATTTTGAAAAGCAGACCGACCCCGATTTATTCAACCAAGGGTTGGCATAGATATGCAGAAATCCCCTTCTGCATTACGTCCATGATTGACAGTCCACCACTGAGTGAAACTTACTGATATCTAGAAACACACACACATATATATATATATATATATATATATATGTATACCACTGGGTATGCCACTAGTGGTCTTGCAGAACACCCTATCTCTACAGTGAGCATTATAGCATAATCTACAAATCGTGTAAGTTTGAGTCAAAGTATACTTGACCAGGCAACACCTGACACAGAGTGAGATCCCAGTATTAGTGGTAAAAACGAGAGTTGCTGAAAATAAAAATAAATGAAAGGAAGTGATAAGATGTACCCCAGTCAAAGCAAATGGATGTGTGTTGAATCACCATGAGAGAGAGACAATATCCGCTTGAGGAAGATAGAGCCACAACATGCAGATAATGAGCAATGAAGGTATTGGAAGTGGTCCACATTCTGGCCTGAACAATCTTCTCCAACAGAGAGTGAAAGCGAGAAGCCAAAGATATGGTGATATGATGAATGTGATGAGAAGAAATATTGTGGATTTGACGACCTTCCATGGATAAGTCCAAATATGTCAGGATTGGAATGGGAGTACCAGTAGTAGATAGAAGGTAATGGAAATGGATATGAAAGTCAAACAACCAAATTGGGCAGCATAAGTCTGAGAGAGGAAGGACCAGTCGAGATATAGAATGACATAAATGGAATGGTAAAGAAAGCAGATTACGGTAAAGGCATAAATATCTGTTCTACAACATCCATAAGCAAGGAGGAGAAGGAAATAGGTCTTAAGGGAGAGATAGTAGATGGAAAATGATGACAAAGGTTCAAAAGAAGTACAGCAAAGGTAATAAAGGACCACACTAAGATCCAAATCAGGCAAATAAAAGGAACGTGTAGGATGCACGACTCAAAATGAGTGAAAAAAGGAGGGAAATAACAGGGGAAGACAAAACAGAAGGTGTTCAACAAGGCCACCTGATAGCTAGGCACACTCAAAGTGGACAAGCCTTTGTAAAACAACCAGATGAGGAATGGAAGAGTGGGAGGGACAAAAACCATGTTTAAGGGATCAAGAGTGGAATGTATACCATCGTCCATGGTAAATGGACATGGAAGAAGGTCTAATGGATCGGGAAAGGAAATGTGCAACATGTGGAGTCAGTCCCTAGGCTGAGACAATGGATCTGAGAAAAGCAACACAGGAAGACAGTGTGTGTGGTGATATCTGGTTGAAGAATGTCCAACTCAGGTTGACAGAATAGGGACATAGACAGAGGTGAGGGTAGAAGAGATTGTACAAGTAAAAGTTGGAGCAGTGAGAATGATGGTTGCACCAACCAATACAGAGCCACCAGTAGCACGAGACAAGGAATGGTTTGGAAGAGGGAGAGAACTGTGGAGAGGAGTCAAATAGGAGGGTAAGCATAGATGTGAAGACCCCTCTAATCTTGACAGAACACAACTACCTTCAGAGTTAGTGGGTGGATAACAGTAGACCAAAGGGAAGAACTTTTGGCATTCTAGTGGATACTCAGGTGCTTTAGCATTATGCTCTGTGAATCATATGTGATGCACAAGACAGGAATACGATTAAAAAAGATAAATACACAATACTGTGTAGTCTCAAATAGTTTAAATCCATTATTACAGAGTGATGACAAACTTGTTGTTGTTCCTTAATAGTAGATTAAACTTTATTTTCAACCTTACCTACACTGTCTGCATTCTTTCATTACCTACTCCTTAAAAAGTCAATTTTGTTAAATATGAATTCATAATTTTTATTAACTCTCAATATTTTAATCTAAGAATTATAAAAAAACCAATAACATTAAATCATCTAAATAATGAAGAAAATTTTCATTTTAAGAAGCACATGTAAACTAATAACTTAAACAGATAGGCACATGTAACTGTTCTTTAAGAAAAGCTTGTGATTGATCATTTCATCAGGACAAGCACTTGTACTGATCATTTCAGTTTAAATTGTATCATATCCTTTTAATATGAATGTCAACTGATACCCTTAAGAATTTCTTCTTGTAGTAACCTATGTTAGGGTACTGGATTTCTTATTATTTACCTCTTCTACAGCATAAGTCTTTTTTACATCTGTATCTGTCTCATTCTTGCTCTCAAAATGAATCACTTTCATGTTAGGAATAACTGGGTCCACAAAAGTTGGCTCAGTATTAAACTTGATTCTATAAAACAATGTTAAAATGCTATCAATAAATTAGACTTCTTTTTATACATTATTATAAAAAGTCAAAGTAAAAAGTTTTTGTAAATCATATAACATATACCATATTGCCCCTAATTAATGCTCTCTTTCTAATTATTGTCCCCCAGTATTTTTTATAAAGCTTATCTTGTGTAACAGCAATAGTAATCCAACATATAATCCACTTTTATTACTGTAATTTTGATGTGAAAAAAAAGAAAACAAAAACACACACACACACTTATTAGCAATGAAATCAACAAATTATGTCAAGGGCAATGCGGTAAACCTAATAAGTGCATGGTGTTTTAGCTGTTTTTACTCACCACAGAGCTATGATGCTATTAATTTATTCTTGTAAATTACCAGGAATAAGCTGTTTAAGATACTTAAAATACAACTTCAAACGCCTTATATATAATACAAGTAAAAAATAAACTTTTCTGACAAGGAAGTAAATGTAGGGACGGCATTAGCATCATTCCTACATAAAGCACATGCACACAGTCTAGTAGAATGTTAACAGACAAAAGTAGGATAAATTAAAATCAATTGTGATTGTATAGTTATATATATTGCTGTATGTTAATTCTTGCCTATGCAAACAAGATGGTAGAGATGGTATTTGCATTATCCGTACATATAAATACAAGTTTAGGACATAGCAAAATGTTTTTTAAATATAGAAGTAGAACATTTACAGTTCAGGCACCAAAGAGATATGGCAGCTTGAACATTTAAAAAAGTTTTGATTCATTAATTAGATGAGCATTATATGATGCTAAAATATTAACTCTACCAATTTTTTTGTGCAGAAAATAACTTAGAATCAGAATTTAGTTGTTTTTTTTTAATTTTTAAAGTTGAGGTGCAAGTGTGCATTCCAAATGAACTGAGTGACATGTCAAGCCAAAAAAGGGTTAAGTTTCTACTCAGGTTATTCTTTTTGGTTAATTCAATGGACAACAAGTGTGAAAAAATACAAAAAAGGTGATATACAATGATTAAGAAATTTTAATATCAGAAGATGAGAATACATCTTCAAGAAAAAAATGTCCAGCATTAAAAAAAATGATTACCTCTTCATGAATACTGAAACAGTTCATACATGTTACATAAAAATTCATCCCCTGACTTTTAACATGGATGAAAAAAAAATCAAATTAGTCATTTGGCTAGTCCTGTATCTCATCCCATAAAATCTAGGGTCTATGTGCACTATGGTGCATTCTAGGCCATTTTAGGGCACTAAATATTCACATCATCACTGTTAGGATGACCAGTAAACATCGAATTTTGGCACTTTACTTCATGTTCCAATGATCAACACTACAGACCAGTTAACATAAAAAGTAATCATTTCATGAAGAAATGTGTATACAGACACTACATATAGGTGTTTATAACTACAATTATTAGATCAGTTAATTACTAATTGGTAATTTCATGAAATACCGAGGCAATACTTCTACTTCTACAAGGGCAAATTACTAATCAATGACTTATAACCTGTGTCTTTTAAAAGGCAGATAAAGAATATTATGTATGTTTATGTATGAACCTTTGCTTATCCTTAGACTTTATATTTTCAATTCTGAAGCAAATTTGTGCATACTGGAAATTATATGCACTGTATCACTTTTCCAGTAAATTTTGGCTAATTAAGTGACAAGATAATGTAATGACAAATAATGCATTATATCAGTAACACACAAAAGCTCGCTCAATTTATTTTATGAAATTTTCTGAACAGAGCCTCTGACTTGCATTTAAGTACAAAGACGTTTTATTACATTGTAAAATTTAACTGAAATAAAACTTTAAATTTGTGTTTAATAGCAAGTTTTTAACTTAACAATTGATGCTAAACATGAATATAATACATTACAAGATCTATAAATTCTCTATTGTAATACATGATCAGATTCCATGGATCAATGCAAATGATCACTAACTTATGATATGTGTATAACTGATTTATGAGACTGAAAATAACTTTCGAATCTGTAACATTTAACACGTTTGTATTATGTTTTTTTCATTTGTAATAAAAAGTTCTTAATTACTGAAAATAATTTTGTCCTACAACTTCTCCATCCAACTTTCATTAGCTCATGTATCTATCTCTGTGTAATTTAGGTTTCATCTAAATAATCAAACTCAAAAAAAAAATGTCCAATTTAAGAAAAATGTTTATTTTACATAATTTTATATTGGCAAAAGGCACATAAAAACATTATAAAAGTGGATAGGAAAAGATTTAAAGCCTACCTCCATGCCCATCCTTTCTAAACACCAGCTATTGCACTAAGGAGCTTGTACATTTGACATGTTCATATATCCTTGGTTTCAAGACATTTTGCAATTGGTCAGTTGTCTCTCAGTCACTTAAAAATGAGCCTTACAAATCAATTTCAGTTCATCATGAACATCCCAGTACACTAGGCAATCTTTATTCAAGTGTACTAGTACTAGTAGTTTACTTGCTAATACTAGTATTTTGTTGTTGCCCTCAGCAACATTGATTCCCAAAAGATCCAACATTTTTTTCACCAGATTTGAATTGAGTGGATGGCCAATTAACAGTAAAAATGGTGAAAATCTGCTAAATGGCAGCCAATTCTTATAACTGTTTCCATGACCTTTTCCTAACCTTTCCATATTTTGTCCTGACAACATCAAGCAAACTTACTGTACAAAAAAACTTTGGGAATATGATTTATGAGTCAATCAAAACTAATAAAACACAACTGTGACCTTCTAATAATTTTTATTTCATTAACAGAAATGACTTTACAATGGCCTTATGTGTAACTATTAAACAATTTAATAAGAACAGTACCAATTAATGCACCATAGTTAGTTATTCAATGGTGTTAAAACTTCATCCATAGCAATGTTTATCCTTCCATAGAAAAAAAAAACATTTAAAAATAACTTTCCATTTTTCAGAAGTAGATAATGTAAAAATATGTGACTTTTATACAAACACTATTTGTTGATTTCATACTATTTTCAACTATAACATTCAGCATGTGACAACTTTCAGGGTTATTACAGATTGAAAGTGCTCCTTGATCATATATATCATGTACTCATTAAGATGTTGTACAAAATTAAATACCTGTGTGCAGAGCTGAAGATAGGACAAGCAGGCATCTGATACATAAAAGCTAATATCTCAGCACAACGCTCCAAGTACTTCAAGGCAGCTAAACACAAGTTCAGTGGTATTGCCATGACAGTCTGTTCTTCCTCCAGACATTTTGTACTATCTTCTTTAATGTTATCTTGTAATTCAGCTGTGTGAACAAAGTGTGATAAACATTCGGATCTTGTATCACTGCTGTGTCAAAAGGATGGTTAGTTTTAAAGACAAAACAATCTCCAAATATACTCACATAATCTTACAAAATAAAAACTTCAAACTAGTATAAGAGGCATGTAAGTAAATAAATCCTAAGTCACTCAAAATATTGTAACCCCTATTTTTGGTGTTTTGAACCAACGGATCTATTTTAACTTCATAACTTTAACAGAAATTCCAAAGATAAATGTTCTGGTCTAAATTCAAGCCAAATGAATAATGCAAATATAAGGTAAAAATTAAATTATAAAATAAAATCAGAAACAAAACTAATTATTTTATTCATACATTGGCTCAAATTTTAACTTGCATGACAAACACACATACACACACAAAATAAAAAATATCATTATATACTGCAACCAAATAAAGTATTCCTGAAAATAAATTATGAGATAGAAACAAGAACTATGATTGCAATGTTTCTTTGATCTTTCTATGTTTACTTTAACAAGCTTGACTGTTTTACACTGAGTAAGTCTGGCTATGGTTAACCTCCTTTATGTAGAAAATGGTAACAATGTTTGGATAATCTGGTCAAGCAATACTTAAAGTGTTTTACTGGATTTTGAATACTTTTAAAGTATTTTTTGTGAAATTAATTAAAGAAAAATATTATTGTAAGTCATAATATAATTATAAGTAATTGTACTGATAAGTACAATGTATTTACTTTGAAAAAAGAACTCTTTAATTGCATATATTAATACAAAACTTTCCAAAGATGAAAATGCACGCTTCAAGTCTAAATGCATTTGAAGCCAATCATACCTGGTCCCCGAACATGTTTTAATAAACACAGAAGACAGTCCACAGCTGCATTAGCAAACACCAAAACATTGTCTGTCCCAAGAAAAGCATTGAACACATCAAGAACTACACGCAAGTGCCTTATTATTTCCTCATCATTCTCAATTGAAGAAACCACGGGTGGTGGTGTCCCTGGAAGTCGAATAGCTCGCAAAGCTCCAAAAAGAGGTCGCCATCCTGACCGTATATCTGTAGTGCTGCCTTCCACAAATTCGCATATTAAACTAATAATCTAAGGACATAGATTTAAAACCAGTTTTAACTTTTGACACAACAAGACAAATCTTACAATCGTTTTTTCCTTCAATTATCAAGGAAATTTTAATTGTCTCAACAGTTTCTTTTTAAATAACCTAAAACTAGGCAACTAATATGAATTAATTCATTTTTTTTTGCTCTATAATCTTTATTAAAATAAACTGAGATTGTTTTTAAAAAACTGCATATATTTTAAACTATTTCTAAATAAGTAGCAAACTAACCTTAGAAATTAGCATATGGAATCAAAAACATAAGAATTACTTGGATAAGTTTGTCAACCGTTTCACCACAGCTGCAATATATATTTCCTAATGCACCGCAAAATATACGTCCCAGCTGCAGTGAAAGGGTTAAAGTATACAATAAAGACAGATAAAGAACAGAAACTTCTTTCCATAAAGCTTATTCTTAGTATAATACTGAATTGTATTTATCATATCTGGAATTGTTTCAAAACTTAAAATCATCAAAACGTTTACAGTAAAATTGAACTGTATATGTAGTGATATATTTCTTAATCTGAAGCATAAGAATTATACTTTCTTTACAAGCTTCTTAGAAAGTGTATATCTGACTCTCATACAATGTATAAAGTGGCCTCAACAATAGCACTTTAATTTATTTTTTAGTTAGAGACTAATCAATAAAACAGTTTAACTTTTATTTACAGCAATTTGTTACTCTATATTAAACATATTTTTGTACAATGTATGTCTTGAGTTTGATTAAATATTGATTTTTTCTTACTCTATAAAACCTAAAACCTTGTACATTTACCCCTGAAAAAGTTTCCAATTTTAAATGAGGCTAAAAAAAACAAACAAACAAGAATCCAATATAATTACATTTGTGTAATTTAAAAGAAATCACAATTCACTTACCAATTCCTGAATATCTGTATCACAAAGTTCTAAACACAAAAGGTTTTCAAATGGTTTGAAAAGAGCTTCATTAAAATGAAAATGAGGTAATTCGGTATTGGATGAAAGTAGGGCACTAACAATATCATGGATAGAAGTTACTGCTTTCTTGGATATCTCCTGATCCTTATGACAAGCTGCCTGAAAAAAATATTAAAAGTTAATCTACTCAGTCACTTATATAAAAAAAAAAATATAATAATAATTAATAATTTTCTATATAAAGCAGCGAAGCAGAGTAAAATGTTCTAAACCAATTACTTGCTTTTCTCCATGTAACTAAATTGTATGCCTAAAATTCCAAATTTGTAATACATTTTAGTGTCAAGTTTACAGAGTCATCCTGTTATACTGATATTAACCTGAGACACATTTTGTTACCATTCCTAATTATGTTTTTGTACAACTATCCGCAGTAAACACTTCTGTATACTTTTTTGAAAGTTTATATATTACAATTAAACTATTTAATATTTACATTCTATTCAAATGTAAAATGATCACAATTTAAATTATTCTTAAATAAATTGTACTGTAGATGATATAGTTTCTTAGAATTAATATGAGATTTATATATGATTCTTAGTTCCATCTTCATAATAATTTTCTTCCAAACAATGGCTTATTTTTGTTTCAAAGAATATAGTTTCTACATTGTATTCCCTGGTTATCCCGAGTATACTTGAGCCAAGCTGTTTTGTAAATAATTATTATACCGTGTTAAGTCAGGTTGATTGTACTCCAAAAGTTTTTCAATCGAGTAAACTTAGGTGAGACTGAAATTCCCTTTTCTACTAATTCTATATTTCACAAATAGATGGCAGCAAAATCAGGTATTTTGTAGTCAGCAGTGTAACAGCATTTGGAATTTTTCAACAGAAGCTAGAGCTGTATCATTTTGCTGATTGCATTTAATGATAGTGATGCTGAATATATAGATATTGAGGAATCTGGCAGTTCAGATACTGACAGCTCAGATGATTTATTCCTTGCTAAAGTTTGGAGTAAAGAGGAGAAATCGCTACCCTCTTATTACACCTGCTCCATGATTTCCATACACAGGTAAGTCTACTATTAATTACACAGATGATCCAGATATAGTATTTTGCAATATTTCAACCTTTTTTTTATGATAAACCAAATAATGCAATAAAAAATAAACAGAGTTGCAAAACAATGTTTGAGGCAAGCATCCCAGTCACACAATAATGAAAGAATCAAATGGCACCCTACTACTAGTAATGAAATTCATGTTTTCTTGGCCATTATCATTTTACAAAGTATTGTAAGGAAATCTGATCAACAACCTCATTGATCAAAGAAGTCAATAATTTTGACAACCTTTTTCTGACAAAAAATATCATACAAGATATGTTGTAAAACAAAACAATACTTGCACTATTTTAACAATGAATAATATGATTCAAAATCCCATTCAAATCCTAAACTGAATAAAATATTGCCTGTTTATCAGAATTTAGGTGAAAAATTTAAGAATCTATAGACAATTGAAAGAAACATCATTATAGATATGACTTTGCTTTATTAAGGTTTAGTTTGTTTTGAATTTTGTGCAAAGTCACATGAGGGCTATCTGCAATAACCGTCCCTAATTTAGCAGTGAATAACTAGAGGGAAGGCAGCTAGTCATCACCACCCACAACTAATTCTTGAGCTACTCTTTTACCAACAAATAGTGGGATTGACCATCACATTAGAATGCCCCCACGGCTGAAAGGGCAAGCATGTTTGGTGGGACAGGGATTCGAATCCGCAACCCTCAGATCATGGGTCAAGTGCCCTAACCACCTGGCCATGCTGGGCCTTACTTTATAAAGGAAGACTTGGTTGGGTTAAATATATCCCTTTGAAGAAAGCAAGGTTTGGGATCAAAACTTATATGCTTTTTGAATCTAAAAGTGGATATGTCTTTCATTCATTACATACACTGGAAAAGGTACCATCATTGATGAAGATTATAAAAATCTTCCAGTGTTATACAGATGATTATATCATACGCAAAACCTTTCTTGAACAAGAGATAGTGCCTCACCATGGATAATGTTATATACATCACCACAATCAGCTGACCTACTTGTGGAACAGAAAACAGACTTATATGGGACTGAAACTTTCAAGGAAAGATATGCCTAACAATTTGCAAAGCCAAACATTGAAGAAAGGAGAAATTGCTGTCTACAGAAGTGGAAAGATTACTGTCATGTGTTGGAAAGACAAGAAGTATGTGACACTGCTCTCCACTATATGTAATGCAGAAATAATGAATGCAAAAAAAAAAGGTAAATAAAAGTTAAATTTAGACTAGAAATAAATGACCTTATAACACCAAAATGTTGTTTTTAATTAATTAAACACTCAACGTTTTGCTTTACAGCTTATTCTGGAGCATTCCCTAAAACACAAATCAAAACTGACAGTACAAAGATTAAAATGGTTTGAATAATAAATTCTATTAGAATCTATAATGTGCATTTGTACAGCATGTTTTTGACATATTAAGTAGTAAAGCTCATTGTTAAAATAATTAACTGTTATCTGTAGTAAACAAAAGTTCTATCAAGGTTAAAGAGTGAAAAAACAAAAAGATAGGATAAAAGATAAAAATTAAAATTATAGGCACCATCCTTTGTCCCTATTCATCTGTGGTTGTAATTGTTTGATGAGAAGAGCTTCTTTGAATTTTCTGTCATACACTTGCATCATCCCCAAAAGTAGGGCAAACAGGAATAACACTGCTTCCACTTAGTCTCTTGGGAAGACACTTCCCAGAGATTATACCACCAACAGAGAAGATAAATCCAACAAGACAATGTGCAATGTGTAGCTAATGGGAAGAGAATCTAAAGAGAAAGCAAGTATTTTTGTCCTGACCGTGATGTACTAATCTGTCACACTTAGTTTCTGAATCTACCATACTACAACAAACATCTAGCTAAATATGTTTAGATATTTTCTGACAGGTTGTTTTTATTGTATTTTTTTATAGTTGAGTAATTGTTTCTGCATGTATAAGGTGTTTTATGCAAATAAACCTAAACATGTTATTTTCCTTTCACTTTTCTTGTATTTCATGAGATATCTCAGGTTTATAATAAAAGCTTTGTTATACTTTTCTTTTCAAAATAATAAAATTGTAAACAAAATAGTTTGTGTTTCACTTTTCCTATATGAATATTTTCAAAAATAAAATAAGATATAATGTTTTTGAAACATACTTAGAGATAAAAAAAATGGTAAGGGAAGGAGGTAATCCTCTCGCTACAGGTAAGTTAAAGTATGTATGTCACAACCTTTTACAGAGTTACATTCAAAATTTAATTAAATTACATTATTATCAATGTATAAACTTGTATAAATTACATGAAGATACACATATTATATTCAAAGTTATAGTATAGAAATGCTGATGGTTACTTTTGGGTTAAAAGGATGGTGTAATCAACTGACCATCTTTTGACAGAGTTAAGGGTGCAAATCAAAAATTTTGTAAGGATAAAAAGGATACGATAAAATATTTTGATCTACAGCAAAAGAGAACCCTACCTCCACAAAGTGTGGTGCTGCAACACTCCATGCTTTCATGACGTGTATCAGAGGTCTTCCTCCTCGAACACACCTGAGCATGACATCACTAAGACGAAACAATAATAGTGTGTTACCATTATGAGACCTAGAAGACTGATTGTGTCCAGAAGATGATTTTCTTCCTGTTTCAGAGAAAAGTTGGGTCTGACTGGCAGCACTAAGTTCAGTCAGGAATCCAATCAGAGCTGCTAGGTTTAATTTATTTGCTGCATCTTCAAATAACCTGGAAATAATCAGAATCTATGCCATCAAGTTGGTCACACATCTTAAAGAACAATAATGCAAGAATACCGTATTTGCCGACGTATAAGATGATTCTTTTTACTCTTAAAACAATGCCTGATTTTACATCTTGCCTTATACACAGGTTCAAAGATAAGAGTTCTAGTAAGAACTCTCCAGTTAATAACATATTTAATCAAAACTAAATTGTTCCTTTTCCTTTTGTTTGCTTTTTTGAGTAAGTGTGTTGATATCATGCCAACTACTGCATTACAATAACATATTTGTAATTGTATCATTTGTCTCGATTCTTCATAACTAGAAGTTATTTACCTCACATGTTAGTTACAATTAATCCAGACAGTTTCAGTTTGAAATGTATTAATCTCATCTGTCATACTAAAATATTGCTAATATTATGTTAAAAAAGTTAGTTTATGTAATGTACACTACTTTTGTAAACATGTTTTTATAGCATATCACTATATCTCAAGTTGTAGTATTTTTTGTAATAGAAAAGGAGTTCAGCTGTGATGAAAACTTTGTAAAGTTGTTTATTACATGTTTGTGACTTAAGTTATGCCACACTGGCTGTTTGTATCATTTGAATAGCATAAAAAACTACACTTGCAGTTGCATTGAATATCTCAAAGCACAGGTTAGCACAGTTTAAAAATAACTTGCTCAAAGAAATACACTTAATTTACTCCAAAAAATCCAGGGTCGTCTTATTCTTAGGATCATCTTATACAAAGGCAAATATGGTAACAAATACTGAATTGTAATAAGAATACTTCATTGCACCCATCTACAGTATGTAGAGCTATAATATCACATGCTTTGCCCACCATTTTGCACCAAATGCATTCTTAACATCTGAAAACTGCTAATAAATTCATAATTGCTCTATTTTTAGTAAAATTAATGTAACCCTGGTGACTAATTATCACTCAGAAATGTATTTTATCAACAAAATTACATCCAGTTACAAAAGTATAAAAGGTACAATAAATTTTTTTACTGAATGTTATTAATAGTAACAAGTAGAAGGTTGTTGAACGTAACTGACCTATCAACAAGCTGTGACAAACCCTCGATGATTTCCTGAAGTTTCTGATCTTTGACAATATATCCTGGAGCTTCAACTGTGTTTCCTTTTTGTAACAGCTGTAATATGTTCACTTCTGGAGGACCCACAGTTCCTGGCATTGAAACTGGATCTATGCCCTGATCATCTCTGGAAGATTAATAATAAATTAATTATATACATTTACATCCACACTAACAGAACAATACCAAATCTAAATGAAAAGAAAATATTTAGTGTCAACTAAAATTCTTATACTGTGGCTTTAGAGAGAGAGAGATGCCTGAAAAATAACAATCTCATAGTTGTTTATAAATATCCCAGCACAATTAAAAATGTGTCCTACCATCCAAAAAGTTTGCATCTCAAGATAAAGAACATGGTGTCTATATAGTTTCCTGCCAAGTCTGTGAAAAAAGTTTAAATTGCTGAAATTGGGGGACATTTGGATACCAGACTTGAGAAACACAAAAAGAATGTTAAAAATGGTTATACAAATAATGCTATTTTCCTACACATAAGAGAATTTAATCATACAATAAACTGGGAATCAGTCAAGTTAATACACAGAACTACAAGTTATGTCAAAAGATGAATTACGGAAAGTTCATTAATCCTAAGATTACCAAACGTCAACACATCCAAAGGTCACCTTAATTTGAACCCCACTCTGAAGTCATATGCCATTCAAGGAATTGGAACTTCTGTTATAAAATAAGCAGTGTATGTGTTTCTCCCACAAACAAATGTTGGACTGAAAATGACATGTGAAATGTCAAAAGTCATTTCCATTTAAACTTGGTATTGTTCTGTTAGTGTGGATTTAAATTTTTATTGTATATTACTTTTCATGGTATTGTGTATTTACCTATTTTTTATAATTATTTACATTTTTCATGTTAAAAGCAATTGTTGAGATATGTCAAAAGTATATTATAAGAACACCTTAAAATATTTCATAATGCTCAAAATGCAGCTCAAACTATGGAGATAAAACTTTATTGAAAAGTAGAAATGTATTAAATATGTTGCACTATTATCTAAATCTCATATGAAAATAAAACCTTAAGGGGGTGAGGATAAAGTTTATTACATTTATCAATTAACTCTCACAACATGGGCTTGGTCAATTTGACCAATCACATGATCTCTCTGTATTAGGTTAAAGTCTTTATAGACTTAATACTTCTAACTTTCAATACAGTGTGTATATCTTCACAAAATTTGGCAGACTTTCAGTTAACACTATAAATCTTTCACATACAAAAAATCATATTTTCTTAATGAAATATTTTTAATGAACTAAAATAAGAGTTGTCCATGAATATATTGAGTATTTGTTTTGAATAGCCCATGTGCAAAATAATTTTACACGTTAAGATTAAAAATACTTTTCTTCTTTTCTTCAGCTCACAAATTTAAAATTTCCTTTGTGTAATCCCTAAAGCCTTCTAAATACTTTTCAAATATTTTTTTTCAGTAAAACTTTATATTTTATCTGTTATTTTCTCTGCCCTATCTCTATACAGGATCGATTAATTTGACTGACCTAGTAACCACCAAAAAAATAAATAAATAAATCTAAATTGCTCTTTTATCTTTCTAGAATGACTTCAAATTGTAACATGAAACTACATTCATTTATCCTGAGTAGTTTACGCTCCTAACAGTATACATTTATTTATACTTACATTTTATTGTTTTATTGCCCTTTGAACCATGTGTAACTACTATTTACGCCATTATAAGTTGTAAATCACTCGGGGAGCATGCAGCTCATGTTACACTATTGGATTACATTACCCATGAGCTGCTTGTATGTGTGCCTCATAAAACATTTTTATTATATTATTATTATTATTTATTTTACCTAATTTTATCTTAACTAACATAAAAAAATACCTAGTTTTACCTTTTAATTACTTTTATAGTAATAAGTAAAGAATAACCATGAAAAACAAGAAATAAAGTACTTACCCAATCTTCTTTTTTTACTGTCAATTATCGATGACACTTAACCCTACTTTTTTTTCATACTAATTGTAGAAATGCACTAAACAATTTTTATTTAATTAGATAATGCACCAAAGAACATAGACTAATAACATGCAAAAAGTAGACAATTTTCCCTAACTCTCAAAATTGTTCTGGCTTTCTAACTATGAGACAAAAGCCAGTACAAATTCATCCAAGCTAGTCCTTAACTTTCTCATGAGAACAAAGCTTGTACTCTGAGTGGGTGTGGCAGGAGGTGTTTGATTTTCTATTTAATAGCTCTGTTACCAAACAAAATTGAATGCTACAAAAAATTTTGATTTGTCTGAGAAATGACAATTTTATAGTGAGTAATTTACATTTAATTTCATATATTTTGGAGGGGTGGTGAATAAAAGAGAGAAGAGAAGATGCCTAGAGAAAATGTGTCACATGTGTCACACTAGAGGAAATTCAGGATTTTTTAAATATTGCCTTATAGAATTAAGAACTTAAAACTTATAAACTAATAAGATATTGATTATTAGCTAAGATTTTATGCTATACTAATTGGTATAACATAAAAAGTAGTTTACTAAAATTTTGAATGTAAGACACTAAAACTTTGTGTCATGCACGGTAAAGGATACCTATTGCGATAGGATTAAAAAATAAGCTTTTATAACATTTTATAGACATTTTTCAAGCCAGAATATGATCACATATACTGGGATTAGGGTATGTTGAAAAAACACAATAGTTTTTATATTGTACATGTACAAAATCCTTCTATAATTACCTGCTCTTAAATAATGCTACTACCTTAACCCATGATCTTCAGCATTTAAAAAAAACAAATAGGTAATACAACAAGGTATTTGAATTACAAAGACATCTGGAGGTACTTAAACAATTTAAGGTCATACAAACAAACAGTTTAGCAAAGCTAAACCCAGAAAGTGCCAAATTGCCAAGTACAGAAGCTTACTAATAAACTCATGACATTATAAGAGTACACTGCTATTGCTTCTTTAACCTAGAATTAAAAAAAATCCTTACAATAATAATAATTGAATTTATTTTGTTTAAGAATTATCTTAAATAAAACAATTTGAATTTTACCTAAAGCTTCCAGATATGGATAAGAGATAAATGCAAGGCAAAAGAAAAAACTGTTATTCAATCTCCTAGTGATACTAATTTAAGAAGAACAAATATACACAACTTTTACTCAGAATTTCAGTTAATTCAGAAGAAGAAGAAATGTTATTGATATTTTTTTATTATTATTCTTAAAAGATGTTACAGAAAATCTTCCTAAACATTTTCATATATTCTGTCACGTTAAAATGTATTACCAATTTATATATTTTTTAGGAAACTTTGTTTTTGGGTGACATATACTCCCAGTCAAGATGTGTTAAAGCAAAAACAGAATTACCAACGATTTTTTTATTAATTATGAAATTATAACTAAACATCTTATAGAGATCAAATTTTCTGCATTGAATTGTTCAATGATACTTTCAGAAGCATAATTACTAGTTGGGTTGAAGCTGTGAATGTAAATACTGTATGCACATTCTCCTTTCACCTCTCAACTGCATATGCAAGAATAGCAGACACTTCTAGGTAGAGGCAAATTGTAAATTACAATAATCTTCATCAATACTTAACTATCTCGTATAGTCGGAGTCAAATAAAACTAATTTCATTTTACAGTTTATCATTTTTATATGCTAAGTTAATAAATTTGATACTATCTGATCCCTTTATTGCAATGAATAATATTCCTAAGTAAAAGCAATCAGATACAGATACAAGTTATTCCCTCCCTGATACACTGTCTACTTTGACAAGAAAGACAGTCTTATCAAAATTGGGATTAAAATACACTGAATACTACTTCACAGTAACCCAGTATCTAATATACTACACGTCAACTGTAAACAAAGTAAATTTTGGATTAAAATACACTGAATACTACTTTACAGTAACCCAGTATCTAATATACTACACGTCAACTGTAAACAAAGTCAACTTTGGATTAAAATTGGGATTAAAATACACTGAATACTACTTTACAGTAACCCAGTATCTAATATACTACACGTCAACTGTAAACAAAGTAAACTTTGGATTAAAATTGGGATTAAAATACACTGAATACTACTTTACAGTAACCCAGTATCTAATATACTAAACGTCAACTGCAAACAAAGAGAGCTTTGGATTAAAATACACTGAATACTACTTCACAGTAACCCAGTATCTAATATACTACACGTCAACTGTGAACTTTGGATTCAAATACACTGAATACTACTTCACAGTAGCCCAGTATCTAATATACTACATGTCAACTGTGAACAAAGTGACTTTGGATTAAAATTGGGATTAAAATACACTGAATAATACTTCACAGTAATCCAGTATCTAATATACTACACGTCAACTGCAAACAAAGAGCTTTGGATTAAAATACACTGAATACTACTTCACAGTAACCCAGTATCTAATATACTACACGTCAACTGTGAACAAAGTGAACTTTGGATTAAAATACACTGAATACTACTTTACAGTAACCCAGTATCTAATATACTACACGTCAACTGTGAACAAAGTGAACTTTGAAAAAGTTAGCAGTGTTGTGACAGTGGAGATTCCCCTTGTTATGTGCTCAAGCTAAATGATAGCATTAACATTAGAGTAGAAACATTTTTGATCAAGAAGTGCATAATTTATATTGTAGTACATGTTATGTGAACTGTGTATCACCATGGCTAAAAGCAATCTTGTCGATATAGAACTAATGTGTCTGTAAATGTGTAAGTATTGATGACTATAAGACAAATACGTTACTAATAGCTGGTTGCACGTGTTAAACTATTTTTCACTTGAACTTAACTTAGATATACAGATTAATTTCATTGGGTTTATTATGTAAAGCTTATGATTAAGTTTGTGTAGTAAATATACATATATTCAGTGTAATTTGCAAACGAATACATTCCTACTTTTGATTACAGTATATATGAGAACAATAACCTTCTCTAAATATTTTTTATTCATGGCAAAATGTATACAGTATTATTAATATTTTGAAGCAGACAGATTTAATTCCTATATACACATTGTTTTTGAGAGGTTTGATTTTGTTAGCTGTCAGAATGCTTTTTGCAATAACAACTGAATTACAATTGTATTGTTCATACAAGGTTTAATAAAGTTTATGAAATTTCAAAGCTTTGCATATGTTCTTGAGCTAAAACAGTGAACAATGTTACACAGCTTCTTACTGTTTGTTATTGAATGAAACTACTCTTACATGACAGACTGAAACTCCATCATGATTTTTGTAGTTCTTCTGAGGGTTGTATGATCCAAAGCCGTATATAAAAAACTTCTACAACAATTTGGGTTTACTATATACATTAAATTCTTTAGAAGGGGAGTTCATCTCTTCCTGAATATCAAATCAGAACTTGTCTTTAAAGGGTGCTGAATAAAGTCTGAAAACCCACCTTACTCCTCCTGGATTAACAAGTCAGCTTTACTTCAATCATTCAGTGATGATAAGTAAGAGGAAAAATAATGAAATGTTAGAGCTTTACCCAAACTCTCCAGTGATAGGTGGAAATAATGAAATGTTAGAGCTTTACCCAAACTCTCCAGTGATAGGTGGAAGGAAAAATAATGAAATGTTAGAGCTTTACCCAAACTCTCCAGTGATAGGTGGGAGGAAAAGCCCACTATCCTGCTGAGTTGGTTGGTTCCAACGATCGAGACGACTGGAAGAGTTAAGCTGCCTGGTCATACTAATAGCTGTCTGGTTCCAGCCACTAAAATAGGTGTGTTCTACTTCTAAGACATAGCTACAGCACCTGCATTAAAAATATCATACATAATTTAACAAAAATCATTTAGACAGGATAACAAGAAGTCACGAGATGATTAAATGAAAACCAAAAACAAATTAACACAAGTGTAAAAACATAAAAAAACTAAAACAATATACAAAGCTCTCTTATCTATTTATCAACAGTCAGTGATGGAATTTAGCAAGAACAAGCTCTAACAGTGTGTTGGGAGTGAAAATGTGATCCCAACCACGTTCTGGAAGGAATTAGTAACAAACATTTATTTTTAACACACCCCTCAAGAGCCAAGAAGTGTCTTTACACTGCAATTTGTTGAATAATAAAAGTACTTTCAATCTGGAAACTCCCATAGAAAGTGGGTTTGGATGCATCTTTTGGAGATTACTTCGAGACAAGTTTTCATTTGTTAATTGATAAACTTTTGAGTGAAATAGAGCATCCTCAAGTCTCCATACTAGCTAGTACTAAGGTCTACCCACTGGGAGTAAATTTAGTATATATCAATAAAGCCACATTCTCAGCATCATTAATTTAGCAATTGCCATCCTTTTATGCTTCTGCTATCACCTTTTTATGTCTAGCTTTCAACTGAGGGGCCTGTTAAACCTTTTTTGTTCTTTTTAATTTACCTTTACACAATTACTATGTTGCTTTAAACTTTGTTAATTATTAAACACATTATAAAAGAAACACCTTTAAAATATGATTTCTCTCTATATAAGCTTTATTAAATAGAAACCTGAGGGCTTCTTAATCCCTGGCATAAAACAAACTTTGTCTTGCTATTCTCAGCATTAAACCTCAATTTTGGCTTTGCCGAGTAATTTCCTTCCAATTACAGCATTTTTTCAACTCATTCAAGTTATTTCTACTTAATAAAAATTTAATTATGATACCTAAGTTTTTCCTGCAGATTCACAAGTTTAGCTAAAATAAAAAAGCTATTAATTACTAATTTTAACCATGCTACTGAAACACCTACATGTAAAGAAATGTAAAAAAATTAATTTAATAAAATACAAACAAGACGACATTTTATTGTCATAACACAGGGAAGTTCTTTTAGTAGGGCTTACTTGAAACGTTCACATTACACGTGTTAGAATTCGCAAACAGTTGGTGTAAAAAAAAGGTTAAAGATGAATAAAGCATTCACTTGGAGAACAAAAAGATTCCACTTTTATTGTATGGGTATCACTTTAGTGTTTAGTTGACCACAATCTTTATCTTATGGCAATACTTTCTGTCAAGAGGATACAGAGAAAAGTATCAAGTCACAGGGAAAAATTAAAATTAAATCCTATCCTGTCAATGAGATTAATAATAATTCATTAACACTTGATTGATAATGAGCAAAATAATGAGTAAAAAAAAACTTAAGAGAAAAATTTGTGTCCAAAAGTCAGATCAGCGAAGGAAATGAGCTTGTGGAGAAGACCAGCGCTCATTCAAGGTTATCTTTGGGCCAAAAATACCGGTGGCCTTGAGCTGATGCGATCCTCATGTAACAGAATCTTAGTGTTCAACTGTAATGATGAATGTTTCTTTCTTAAAGAGCAATTACCATGCATTGCATGCCAATAAACTAAATTATGTAACAACAAATTTGTATAAAAGCTGGTGTAAAAATCATTGTTACTCAGTACCCTAAATAGTTCATCCTAGCAACAAAGAGTTTGCCCTGCAGTCCAACCCATCATGAAACAAGTCCACCTCCTTTGTAAGTTGTATTCGATTTTACTTAACTCCTGAGGATGATGTTGTAACGTCGAAACATGTAGAATCATCAACTTTTTTTGAAGGCATAGATAGGCCTAAATAAAATGTTTTTAATTGTGTACCAGTTTAACATTGAATATTATTTATGATTTTAACTTTATACACAAGTGCCAAAATACTATAATTATTTTTTATTTATTGTTATAAAAATAACTAAAATAAAATAAAAGTAGCTAACACTATAGTCTCTAGCCTTGATGATGGTAACATGTTACTGACACTAGTTGGCTGAAATTTCTAATAAAGATGTTATTTTTAATTGTGCCCCAAAAAGTTTTTGTTTTGTACTCTTAATATAGTAGCACAAAGTGCCTGAAAATAAATGATAATGTTAAGTCCCTGAATATCTTGTTGGAACTCTCTGCCAATTACTCCTACATAAACACAAACATAAAACTGTTAAATTAAACAACTATAATTATGAGTGGTGGTGAGACAAACAAATGTTATTCATAATAAATTATAGCCACAAAATATCTTTGTTCCTTACCTAAAGACATGTTTCCAACAGTCAGGGCTGTGGCTGCCAAGCTCAAGTCCTCTACTCAAAATCACATCCATGCTCATAATATGGGATGTGTGTAATTTCAACTGAGACTTTTTACCCGGAAGCACTGATTTTTTAACTTTGTTATATTTTTTCTGTGAATGTGTTGTAATATTTTCTTGATCTTCCTGCAACATAGGACAAGAGGCAATAGCTAGTTGTGCAAATATAGCACTGCAATGTGACTGTAGACCTGCAAGACCAAGAACACAAAACTATCAAATAATCAATAACTTATTTAATACACATTGAAAATATTTTAATGTTGGTATTAATTTAAACTTTTTAATTAGATTTTGATCTAAAAAAACTAGTAATAAGAATTTATTTTGTTACCCGAGTTGTTTTTCAATCTTAGAAAAAATTAAAAACTATAAAATAAAAATTCAAAAATTTAAACCTTAAAAAATATTTAGTATATTTAATATAAATTTTAAACTTACATTTATTACTTTCCATAAAAAATGTTTAGTTTATTTGGTTATTCTAATGAAGTTCTCTGTGATGCTATGAAACTGGTTAAGTAAAGAAGAGTTTGGTTAAGAAAGAAAAACTTGAATCATTTCTTTTTTTAACAAACTGTTCTATACACACAGAAACATACACTGGAATCAGGGTTGTTCTTATAATTATGAAGAGATCTCAATGTAGAACTTATACAAAACAATATTTAATAACTTATATATATTACTTCACTAAGCCATTACCAAGAGCATTGCACAGTTTTGCAGAGCGCTGAAGACCATCTAAACTTTCTGCAATTGCATCACTAGCTCTCCTCAATTCCTCTTTGCTTGCCTCAGTAGCCAAAAGTAAACCAATTGTACTAGTAATACCACAAGAATTAGTCCCATCAAGAAGGACTGACAAAACTTCCAGACCAGTATTCCAGCAGGCTGTCAGTACTCGCCTTGCAATCTTCATACCTCATGAATATAAGTATGAAACAAAAACATACAACCTTGAAATCACACAAAAAAAATATATTTTTATTGTAATTGTTCACACTTAGAGTTACCTTTTCATCACATTCTGTAGTGCCAAATACCCCCCTTTGCTTCCCCTGTTCACACTGTGGTGTTAATAATGTTTTTCATCCAAAACTTACCTGATAGAATCTGTCATGTAAAAAAAAATTTTTTTTTTCTTAGTATATTTTAAAACAAATGTCATATGAAAACTATTAAGGAATAGCATGAACATGATGAAATCCCAAAATAAATATATTTAAAATTGTATACCTTCTATACTCACAATAACTTTTATGTGTTTTAAGTTTGAAATTGTTGAAGTAGTTGAGCCCAATGTAATTAATATTATTATGATATTAGGGTCCGATATCTGGTTCATTGGGCCTTCCTGCTACAAGATGATGAGCCTAGATATGGTAAGTAATGTGTATAAAGCAGCTGTTTCATACATAAATATAGTACAGTATAACATACAATAGTGTCTATGAACACCTGCTGCTGTAAAAATGTCATAGTAATTAACACCATGTTTCTAAAGACCTTGTGTATCCAAAAAACTGTTATAAGATTTTTTATCAAATTTATAACTCAGACATAGTTAGTGTGTGCATAACGTTACAATCAAACAAGTCGTAGAATACCTAGAATATTCAGGAATATTAGTGATTGAGAGGTTTTTCAAAGTGTCTAGAATCTAGGCTACAGATATAAATACAGGTACAGTTCAGGGACTGTGAATAGTTAGTTTTAGTCCACTGAAGTATTTGGATCAGTATTAGTTATTGCATATATTATGTTAGTTGGTACAAGTAAGCTGTTTTTTTATGTTAGTGTAGTGCAGTTAGCATCATTTGTAAACATGGTCAAAAGTTACTAGTGTTCAAACATGTAAAAAACATGAAGTGAGAAATAAATTAAATGTGTTAATGTTTACATTAACTTAAATGAACCATCGAGGAAAGAACAACATTACAACAACATATAACTTATTGACTTGAAAGACCTATCGGTTTGTTTTTCAAAGAACTAATCAAGCGTTATCTAAACAATATATATTTTTCTTATTCAACAAGGATATAAGAGTACTAATAGAACAAATACAGTAACGGGAGGAAAACCTTTTTACCAGCTTCCATATTTGGTGTTATGTGGATATTAGTGACAGCTCGCTCCAGACGAACATAGTCAGATAATTGTTGAGATCCTTGTTGAGTGTTACCTAGACCATCCACATCTGAAACACGAAGAATGGCTGTTGGATCAACACCATACTCCAGACCTAAAGAGTAGCCAAGTGGGGTTGGATGGCAGAAAAAGAGGTAAAAATAAAACAAAAACAAGGAGAAAAATCATGCTCAAAATTTAAATAAAAAGGAAGCAAGATGAAAAACGAAAGAAGCTATTAACAAAAATTAATGATAAAAACAAAATAACTGAAACGTAAGTAGAAAAACAAGCAAACAAAAGATTCCAAATAAAAAGATAAAAGCTAATATTATTATATAAACAGAAACCAAAATAAAAAGGGATATTTTTAAGCACTAATGTATAAGCACACAAAAAAAAACGTGCATTTTTAGGATGTACTAGGGCATTACACCCATAGTAATGTATCTCTAGCCAGTATTTACAACTAGAGGAAAGTCATCAATTATGAGTGACTAATAGTCACTCAGTTTACAAACTAACTGTCATCACGATATTAAAAGTTATTTTTTCTCATCATGATAGGTACTAGTTAAAAGTTGACAAGTAAAATTTGAAAGTGTACCATTTTCATATACCTTTCTTGTACATTTTTCTTTATACCTGTCCAACAGATACTTAATAACAACAAATGCACATCAGAGCATAACATTACGAAAACACAATTATCTAACTCATATTCCACATATACCTATATTTTTTTGTCTTTTAACTGTAAAATACCTATATGCATTGATTAGACTTACCTGTTGTATGGTGTGCTTTATTGCATTGTCAGAAAAAGCAAAAAAAAACTTACTGAATTAAATAATTTAACCCATTCTGTGTCAGGCTTTTTTTTCAAAGTGAGCTAAAAAAATGTCTAGTTTTTGATTTTTGTTAGCCTAAACTTATATATTAATGAAACAGTTCTTTTATGAACTGTTATTATATTTCTGTACAAAATATACTCAATAAATAAATCTTACATCTCTGGATTTATACGATATATATATAATTTCAATGAAACTACAGTAAAGAATAGGAATACATTTCTACAGTGTTTGTGATACATAATTCAGAATAAACCCAACAGAGATCAACATAAATAGCATATCCAATGCCAACTAGTGAGCACTGATTGTAATATTACATGATAACATGCGATCAAATTCAGGCAAATAATTCAAAATACAGTAAGAGATGACTTGCCCAAATTAACTTGATCAAGTATTTTTTGAAACATGGAGGGTACCCAAGTTATATCACGCAAATCACGGAAGGAGTTAAATCCTGTGATGAATATTATATAGATTATGTACCTTCTGGAAATAAAAACCTCATTTTTGTATTTGTTTCGTATAAATTTGTAGTTTTGAAAATTATGATGTTCTTTTTTTTTGTTTAAAGAAACAATTAAACATTTTTACCATTGTTGTAGGTTTTAATTATTGATGTTCTGTCTTCCTACATTCTTGAAAAACTTTCCTCTAGTCTTTGTTTCATAAGACTTTAAAAACAATATGTTACAGTTTCATTGTGTTTTATGATCACTGGTGTACTATAAAAATAACTTTTCTACCATATCAATTATAAGGAAGCCAAATTTTTTTAAAATGTTTATCAAAAGTTTTAAACTTTTTTTTTTTTATATATTTTTTTTTTTTTTTTTTTTGGTG